TTTCACTTGACATTTGCCATTCACAAGTAGATGCTCTGGCGACGCATGATAAATTTTTATGTTATAGGATGCGTATCATTTAGAATTAACGATCTGTTGGCATATTATGCGGGATGTGGGAGCCGATTATACGGAATGACACAAAGCTGCAACATCCTTGCAAAATGAACTTAAACAATCTATTTCACCTATTAAAAAATAGGGTTAAGTAGGTTGACTCATAAAATGTTCAGCGCTAAGGAATAAACTGTCTTCGAACATGTGTAACAAAAACATTGAATGGCCAGGCGAATAAGCGCCTAAAATTTGTCTATTGTCCCTTTGCGATCTAGAAATGTCTCCCCTGTTCTACCGACAGTACCAACCACCTGGCACTTATCGGCTAGAGCCCGAGGCAGGTGTGTTGAAAATATTTCTTCATCATAGTTTTAAAGGAGGAAATCTATGTTATGTTAAATATTTTTGATAGGTGCTTCGAATTACCGATGATAGCGTATAAATGTACTAAAGCAAAAAAATTTAGATATACCCTCCCCACCCCCTATAACGCACAACCCCCAAGTTTTAAACCTTACAATATTTGGCAGAAAATGATCAGGAGCCCCTGAACATCAAAAAAGTTTTAGTGATTTTTATTTTTTCGTTTTTTGCGTCAAGTTCCGCCGCCCCTGGACAGATTTTGAAAAGCTACAAAGCTTTTTTGACTTTAGCATAGTAGTAATCTTGTATGAAAGTTTTATATAAATCCGAGCGATACTTCCCAAGTTACAGACGAGCCCGAAATATTTTGTGACCACAGTACCTCCTGGCCAGTGGCGTGAGAAGTAAGATGCTAAGAATACCCTTATTCTGTCAATATGGGCTTGTTCTAGAGGTCACACCAGCATGCATGTGAAACTCCAATAACTCCATCACAAGAACTTTAGTTACACTTCCACGTACAACCTTTGCATCTTTTCTAAATTCTGCACCTTGCGCGTACTAAATTATACTCAACTCGTTGTTCTCAAACAAAATATTTCCAGCAATTCTTCTAATGGGCAGAGAAACGACTGCACTTGCTTTTCATTTCTGAACAAAAGCGATAATTCTTCTTTGCCAAGCAGACACTGCCTAGTGGAGTTCTGCGAAAATCCTGAATGTGGGACGGAGGCTAGAAACGAGATCGTAGACGCGAACATTTCCCAGAATCCTAGAAAATTTACACTTCCACGAACAATGGTAATTTACCCCCGACGCATGATAAGGTTCTGAGGAATCTAATATAAATTCGGAATAATTATCACTGTAAGGGTTGTGATAATGCTGCTTGAGCAGGGTCCTGAGTAACAGTTCCAGCGATATTACAAGCAGCGACTTTAGAATCCGACGTAAAAATTGTCAGTATATTTTATCAGACTTAAGTAGAGTTCTGTGAATATCCTGAAAGGTGGGCCTGGTTAACTAAATATAGATAGCGCTGGTTAGGTAGGCGGAAAGGCCAAAAGTTGTAAACCTCTTACTTTGCTATAGTGGATTATAATATCTATACCAGGAGAATCGAAACCACCCCGAAAATCAACGTCGACGTAATCGCGATTGTACCAGCTATTGCGCTTAACACGAACCTTTTTGTAACGACCTCAATGTCCCTTTGAAATAATGAGTAGAAGCTGGAATGTTTTGTAAAATTCAAATTATAACTATGATTTACCGCGATGCGCATGGGCAACAAATTGGTACCCCATTTCTCCATAGTGCAGTGAAGAGAATATTGAGCAGACTTTGAGATTCCAGTACACAGAAGCCTGAAACTGAATAGGAAAGGATCGCAGTGGTTCGATTATTCAAAATAGAAACTTCCGTTTATTGTACCGTTTGTCGTTGAAGTTAACTCATAGTGCTAAACAATCGAGCAACTGCATTGCATGACGGCAATACATGTTTTATAAGACATTAGAAACAAACAAAAAGACATTAGAATAATTGTGTGCATGTAGATTCAATTTGATTAAGCTCTATGGCCGTTTGATCAACCTTCAGTATACTACGGCTTTCCTATTAACGTCCTTGGTATTTGTATTTATCTCACATTTAACGAACCCGTGGCACGGCCCTCATTCAAATTTCATTCAGTAATTACACCAACATTTTCAGTGCTCAAGCGTTGGCTGATTTTTATTGTAATGTGAATAGCGTTTTTAAGAGAAAAGCGTCGACTGTCGATCATAATTCTTCAGAAAATAATATATCAAATCAATATCCATAGGTTTTGTATGCGTGTGCCGCTTTTGTCTACCCACGTGATCTGAATGACGTCTGCCCGGAAATAAATATGTCTACTAATGCGTGGGAAGCACCCAGTCAATCAACCTTAGAAAAAGGTCAATTAGAGCACTTTATTTTTGTTTGGATAGTAATTTTTTTTCCTAGCACCTGAAGAACAAATGAAGCATATTGACCATCGATCAATAACTACAATTTGAGGCTTATTACCGACTTGCCTTATTGTAAGATATTAATCATTCAGAAACTACAACCTTAACGCTACGTACCTAAAATGTTACCAAAAGTGACGAAGTAAGTTTTATTTTAGGTAGTTTTTTGATTATAGCTTCCATAGTTATGGGTTGTTATGAACTTTAACCACCTAAATATCTGGGAAGCTCCAAATGATAAACCCATTACTTCGTTATCGTTACCTTTTACTTCCCACACCACTGGCGACGAGGTATTGTAATCGCCAAAAAAATGTCGAAAATTAGATGTTTTGAAAATCGGTCCAGTGGCAGCGGAGCTATGTCCAATAACTGTGTACATAAAAGTCGCTCAAATTCGTTTTTCACGTTTCACAGGCTCTACTTTTTTTGAAAAATGGGTAAAAAATTGAGGGGTGAGGAAATATGTACCTCAATTTTTTGGCGTTAGTATACGCTTCCAGCCCCGGTAATTCTACCCACCTATTACTACATAAATTTCACACACGTGTCCTTAAAATTTCGAATGATAGAGAAAGAATTTCCACAGTCGTGTCGCGTATCGGTCGCGCTGACACTGACTGATGGCTGGCTGGCGTGGTTTAGCAGCGTTGCCAGATGATCCGTAATTGCTAGATCGCAACGTTGTCAAATGATTGGGGACTATGCGCTTATTGTATAGGCCTGTTTGAATGACTTGGTCAAGTTATTTATTTTGTGATATATATTCGTCGCTAATTTTTTGTACTTATGCCAAACATGAACCTTTATGAACTGAAGACAGCGTGGAAGAGTGGGAAGTGCAAGGTCAACCTCCTTGACGCCACCTTTTGTACACACTGGTGTATTGATTCAACTACTTCCTGTGTAGTACGCCCGTGGATCGTAATCGATCCTAACCTAAAAACCCAGTTCTCGTCTTGACCAGCAGCAGACGCCTCGGGCCGTACGAGAGAGGATTTTTCTAATAAATTACTCCATTACACGGCAAGCTCTATTATCCGACGCTTTTTCTCTCAGCTATTCGTTTGTTTTCACAGTCGATACGATCTAATTTACACACTATCAACACGCTCTCGACTATCATTCATACCGTAGTCCAGTTATATGAACTTAGTTTAATTGAGAAAAGCTTGATGAGTTTTAATGCTGTTTCATTAATGATGGAAATGAAGATAGACATTTGACATACTCAAATCGCTCATGTGTATTAAGAAATTTCCGATAGTTTACGCTGCTTCTATCACAGAACATTATCCACGGATTATGTGTTTAGACCGATTTTTAGAATTAACATCTGTTGCCGTAATCATATTTTTTCTTGTCTTGTCCTACATGCAATTGAAGGGTATTTCTACTATAGATCAACCGATACAGAATCTTTGCCTATACTGACAATTAGCCGATACCGATATTTCAGTCTGATTATCTGTGTTATTGGCATATCGGAAATTTTTTTCCGCACATAATCGTGTGTGAACACGTTGGTCCTCACATTGGCCGTAACACGACTTTTGTTATGAAATCGTTTTCAAAAAATAGGTTGGAAGAAACCAGTTGCGAAAATTTTCCATGGACAGTTACATCAGTAGTGATATACATGAAACAAATGAAAATATTTGTAATCCGTAGAACAGAGATCGTCAACGCAGCTCTTTACATGACTGACCCTCTGTCAGATTTAGGAATATCTATTGAAATGTCAAACCTTCTATGCCTATTTTTCCTTCAACATGCGTGAAAACTCTTCAAATTTAGAGGAACATGTCAATCAAAATTATCACTTGAAGGGCGAAACTAGGGTCACAGGAAATCATTTTTTTTAAACCTGTTTTCGTAAAAACACGTTTCACGAAACAGTGTTCACAGTCCTGAGCTTTCTACTAGGCTACGTATACGTATGTTCTAAACAATTTCAATTTCATGAAACAGGTTTCTTCAGTGCGAGTCGTATCTTATTCGATTTGTTTTGAAGGCATTACGTCTTCATGCTATATAAAAATGTGCCGCCATGTGGAAATATTTCCACAGTTTCCATCCTACAGACCAATAAAGTCTCATTAATGATGTGCGTAGTTTTTTTCTCAATTCACTAATTTTTAACTTAACTTTTAGATTTGTATCGGTCGGCCAATATTGGCATATGGGCAGTCATATCAGATATCGGCAATTTAGGCCAATACAGCCGGTAACTTTCTACCATCAGGCAATGAGCGACGCACTTATGAACCATTATCTTTTTTACGAGCATGTTTGAAGCTTTGTTGCTCTATATCGGTAAAGGTTAATTTTAATCGGTCCTAGGCAAGCAAATGTCAGCTCAGCCCGCATCGGCAGTGGTGTACGATGTGATATGCTACTCTCTTCCATTTTGGCAGCGGTCTATAATAAGCGTGGGAAAATTCTCAGTTTTTTTGCAGACGTAACTTGCAAGTGCTTGGAAAGTCTATTTACTATTGCTATTTCATCCTAGTTATCCACAACCATTTAGCAGAAACACCTAACGGTAATAACCCTTATTGATTGTGTTTTCCTTTTTTTCAGGCGGTAGATTGGTGGTCGGTCGGCGTGCTGACATATGAGCTGCTCACAGGCGCTTCCCCTTTCACTGTTGAAGGTGAAAGGAATACTCAACAAGAGATCTCTAGAAGGATACTTAGGACCACTCCACCAATACCCGATTGTAAGTGCTGTTTGTTACATATTTATATTTGGCAATAATATTGGTTACTACAATAGCACCTATTTCTTCACCTTTATGAATGGTGTAACACTAAAGAGGATGTCTCACGAAGAACTGCAGCGATCGATTGCTCGGAAAGTTTACATTAGACCATTATCAAAATATTAAAATATTTCGGCGAAAATGTTTTGAAAATGGTAGCGCTTCCGGTTGTACCGGAACTAGAGGCCAACTTGTTTATTTTACATACATACAGGGTTTGTCCGGAAAGTAATAGGACTCATTTTCTTCCGCCATAACTGTACTTCGGAGCGTGCGCGCACCGACTGGATTCGGTAGAGGGCGTTCCTAGCTAACGAATGAGCGGCTGGTCAGTTGTCTCCGAGCACTTGAAGAGTCAGGACAGGCATTTTCGCGCGACGTGTTTCTGTGAGTGGTGCAAGCCGAAAATTCAGCGTTCGTTAGAGCAGAGGTACGCGATTAAATTCTGTGTGAAACTCGATAAATCTGCGACAAAGACGTTTGATATGATCAAAAGCACGCTTACCCAGGTGTTGCTTTAGGAAGAAGTGGGGTGTTTCGGTGGTACCAGGCCTTTTTGGAGGACCGGGAAGAGATCGCTGATGAAGACCGTGCTGGAGGACCTTCGACTTCGACAAACACCGATAATCTGACTCGTGTGCGCAAAGTTTTGAACTTTACTAAGTATTCGTTTAATTGCCCAGATGTTAAATTTACCAAAATATGTGGTTCATGACATTGTGACACAACATTTGAACATGCGCAAGGTGTGCGCGAAGATGGTCCCAAAAGTGCTCACTGACGATCAGAAATTGCGGCGAGTGGAAGTGTGCCAAGAAAATTTGAACATGTGTGAAAGTGACCCCCAATTTTTGAAAAACGTAATCACAGGTGAGTCGTGGACCTTTGAGTATGATCCCGAGACAAAGAGGCAATCCGAGTGGCACGTCTCCTCGCCCAAAAAAGGGAAGAATGAGCAAATCCAAAGTGAAAACGATGCTCATTGTCTTTTTTGACATCAAAGGCATTGTCCACCATAAAAACCGTCAACGCCAAGTTTTACGTGGAAGTGCTCAGGAGACTCAAACGAAGGGTCTGGAAGTTGCACCACGACAACACCCCGGCTCACACCGCCTTTCTTGTGAACAGCTACCTAACCAAGGCCGGCATCCCAACGCGTCCGGAGCCGCCCTACAGCCCAGATGTGGCCTCCCTGGACGTTTTTTGTTTCCTCGCCTGAAAAGGCTGATGAAAGCCAAGCATTTTGAGACGACAGAGGGGATCCAAGCAGCATGCATCGCGGCTCTCAAGGCTATTCCGAAGAATGCCTTTCATGATGCCTTCAATGCTTGGAAATCGTGCTGGCAGCGCTGCATCGACGCAGAAGGAGCCTATTTTGGAAGTTTTTAAAGAATTGTAACGATTGGCTCAATAATTTTTTTAAATCGACTCAGTCCTATTACTTTCCGGACAAACCCTGCATATGGGTATATCACGGTATATCTACGTCTAACTGTGATAAATGCAGGGCAAACCACCTTTAGATCGTAGTGGATATTTTAGAGAGTTCCTATTTCGTTTCAGATTTGGGTAGAGAGGTATCAGATTTCATTAGCAAATTGCTAGTGAAGGATCCGAGAAGAAGACTGGGAGGTGGTGAAGAGGACGCCAAAGAACTGAAAAGGCATTCTTTCTTCAAAAGCCTGGATTGGGAGAAGCTGGCTAGGAAAGAAATACCAGCTCCTTTCAAACCAATCATCAAGTAAGTGTCCATAAGTACTCTTGGTACTAAAACCTACCGTTGGTAAGCTTAGTGTTGAATGCCGGAATATCAAGAGGTCGGATGGGATTGTAGAATATATACTACCGTTCAAAAGTTTAGAAGCACGTGATGGTCGATAATTAAAAATTAAAAAAAATTGATATTGTATCATAAAGCGAAAATATAATTAAAAAGCAAGCCAGCATTGTTTCCCTAGTCTGATATGTACCTCAAATAATAACTGTACACTTTTGTTACGAAAATGCTTCTCAAGAAATCCCTTTTTCACATTCATTATTGATACTTCGTGGCATTCTTCTAGAAAACTGCTCCCGCATTTCGACTGTATTGAGATTGGGCAATGAGAAGAGGGGAAACTCATAGTTTTTTACTTTTGATGAGTCTTTTTCATCGTTGCTAGGGATGCATAACGAGTCCTGGCCTGATGAGTATTTCCCTCGAGAGAACCTCTAGGTTAACGATGTATATTCTTTTAAGGATCCTATCATTTATGTATAACAGAGAATTAACATTCAATGAGAGAACTATTACGGAAGCATATCCATGTGCATTCGTTTTTGTTCAGTTGACGGAAATGTCCAGTTTGGATTCGTCCACCCAGAGCCCGTTTTTGGTTTCACAAAAACCCAATTCTATTAATTTTGATCCACTGTCAAGTCTATCTTACAAGTAAAAGCGTTTCCTGTCATTATTTGAGGTACTTATAACTCTAAGAAGGAAGATAAACAATAACCGTATTGTATTAAAATATTTCCATTTTTTTCAATTTTAAGTATCAATCGTCAAGTGCCCGAAAACTCCTGCCCGCTAAATGTACCCCCTCTGGTGTGGCCTCACCCTTTGGAAACTCAACGTTTACCCCCTTAAAACCAAAAATATTTTTTTTTTGCATTTCGACCTAGAGATTGACCTTACCCTCTCAATTTATTGGTTATATTTCCTTCCAGAAACGAGCTAGACGTATCAAACTTCAGCGAAGAGTTCACGGCAATGCCCCCAACCGACTCCCCGGCGGTGGTACCTCCGAACTACGACAAGATCTTCAAAGGGTACTCGTACGTCGCCCCTTCCGTCCTTTTCACCAAAAATGTCATCTCGGATGACATCCTCAGACCTGCCAAAGAACATGACAGTTTCATCACGCTCAGCGAGGACTCCCGACTTAAGGACTCGCCTTTCTTCCAGTCTTATGATGTTGATTTCACGGAGGATATTGTTGGAGATGGAACGTTTTCGATATGTAGGAGGTAAGTTACTGGACAAGAAATACTTTATTCTTATAGATATCACACTGAATTTGCGCAATGTTAAATGTAGGTTTTTTCAAGCTTTTTGGCGGTCTATGATAAAACTACAGGAATTGCTTTCACGTATCCATCTCCCTCACACATGCACATGCCATCGGCCTCCATACGCGGACGTTTGTTTCTGAATGCTCTGAGACATACGTTTTTTCGTTTTGTCTCACCATTTTGAATCTTTCACATTTATTATTGTCATTTTCAGTCTGACACAACTTGCTTGACATGGACGGCCGAGTTGACCTTCTGTCGATATTTGATATAAAACATAGCAAGTCCTGAAAATACAAATGCAATGTTGATAGACTGTGTTAAGTTTATTGGAGTATATTGGGAAGGTGAATTAAAACAACCGTCTTCTATTACCCAATTCATGTGTGTGTGCAAGAGCTAGTAGCAGCTGCGTTAAGGATCGGCTTGTGCTTTAGGGAAGTAAGGCTCCGCATATGGCACAGCTAGTCAACCTGCTTACTTATTTCGTATGTAGTAACTATCAAAAACCGTGAAAAGAACTATAGGTATTTTTACTTCTCATGCCAAATTAGTGATGAATTACTATTATCACGATAAATTTGGAGGTTACATGACATACATCATGAAAAACTATGTCTCTCATTAGCTTAGATCTGTCTGTGGTGGCCGTTCTACGACTCTGAAAGCACTGCTTAGGTTTGGATTATTTTTTTTTACTGCCATCCAACGACGTACAGTCTGCGAAAACTAGGAATACGCCTGAAAAACAAGGTTGGAATCGACTAAACTAGACTCAAATTACGTTTCACGGTTTTATCTTCAATTAGATATTTGGCGACCTCAAATATTATAAATTTAACAGAGTTTTTAAGAATTGCATATACCCTTACGGTAACCCAGATGAAATTTGTTTAACATGTTCTTATATTAACTTGTTTGTTTAAGATTTATTTAGCATGATTGCTACAATTACATTCTTCTGAAAAACTAGACAATTACATATTTAGAAAAAAACAAAATTTGCATGTCTAAGAATTTTCACTGTCCATGAAATATTCCTTTAATTTTCTTTTAAACAACTTTAAATTACAAGTAGACTTTATATCATTATTTTGTTTATTAAATTCAAGTAATCCTTCCTGAAATGTTAAATGATGTGGCAAAAGATTATTTTTTATTTTAAATTTAAAAATAAGAACCAAATATGGTATGAAATTTTTTATATTCAACCACTGCAATTCTTGTAACATAGATTTTATTTTGGTGTACTTATTTTTATTCAATATTATTCTCATAGCTTTATTTTGTAGAACTTGTAATTTTGAGAATACAGCTTCATTGGCAGTGAACAGGATAGTTGAACAATATGGTAAATGCGTTAGAAATATTTTTTGAGCTTGATAATGTAGATTCAATTTTGTTTTATTGATTAAATAGTTTTGAAGAATTTTAAATACAGATCCTTTAAATCAGTAGTGATGCAATTTAGTAAGTAATTTATCCTTAGCATTAGTCTCGAATGACCTTTTGAAGTCTAAAAACACTGTTTCTTATTGTCCACGCATCTCCTCCAGTCCTCTAAAATCATTTGTGTTGCCGTTTCAGTTGAGTGTTTCTTCCTGAATCCAGCGTGAAATTTGGTTAAAATGTTATTTCCCTCAATAAATTCGATGATCTGTTCGTAAATAATTTCTTCAAAGACTTATTCAATTTGTTTGCCGAATTTTTTTTGTTTAGTTTTTTGAATCATTGAATGCCTCGAAATTCGGTTAAAAATTATAATTTTTGAGGTCGCCAAGTATCTAAATTAAGATTTAAACCTTGCTTTACAAGAACCCGAGGAGTATTTTGAGATTTCTTTATTTCGCAGCGATTTTCAACCTTATCTGTGAACTTTTGATTTTCGCAGACTGTACAAGCTTTAGAAATTGGGCCAGTTACAAAGGAGTTACACGCAACCAACTAAATACTTTAGAACTCCCCTAACTTCGTATTTCCATGAAAGTCGAGAAGACTTTCTGATGATTTTTGGCCGTAGTAATTTTTTTAACTTTCTAGGATGGCTTTTTGTCAGCCGAAAAGAAACGCACTACAAGAATGGTTTGTTAAATGTGGTGTGATCTTAAAAACACTTTGGAAATGGCCAAACTTGTGGGATTCCTGTAAAGCTGTAATTACAACCAGTTTTTAAGGCGATAGCCTCAATAATCCATTCTAATTGCTGAACCTCTTCCACAGATGTGTTCACAAGTCAACGGGTAAAGAATACGCAGTAAAAATAGTGAGTCGAGCTAGGGACTGCACGCAAGAGATCAACCTATTGAGGGCATGTCAAGGTCATCCGAACATCGTCACTCTCCACGAGTTCATACAGGATGAGAGTCACAGTTACCTGGTGTTGGAGTACCTCAGAGGAGGAGAATTGTTCGATCGGATACGGAAGAAGTCCAAGTTTACAGAATCTGAAGCGTCTTGTATACTTAGAAAACTTATATCGGCTGTGAGCTTTATGCATTCAAGAGGTAAGTTTACAGAATAAAAACTAGCTGAGTCACTGGCTGATGATTATTTTATGTCCAAAACGGATTTCGAAGTGTCTACGTTGCCGAGGCTGTCCGTCGCGGAAAAAAATCTTGTTTCTGAAAGTCCGAACAGTGTTTCTACTTCTCATAACCTATATATTTCGAAAGTATCAATGACAATAACAATTTTTATGAAATCGTTCCTGAATGTAGCTTCCAAGAAATCAAAGTAGCGTTTCTAAACTACTGTGAATATCACTTGGAAACATACTAGGTACAGTATGCCATCTTTGGGATCAAAACGTTCACAATATGCTTTGTTCCCGACAAGGCATACAATACTTTCAATATAATATTTGTTTTTTTTTAGCATGATTGCTACAATTGCATCCGTCTAAAAATTAAATAATTACATAACATCAGATATTCAGAAAAAAACAAAATTTGCATCTATAACAATTATCACTGTCCATGAAATATTCGTTTAATTTTATTTTAAACATCTTTAAATTACAAGTAGACTTTATATCATTATTTAGTTTACTAAATTCAAGTAATCCTTTCTGAAATATTGATTTGCTGGTTATATTACTATTGCAATTTTGTAAATGAAAATCTATATTGCCTCCTGTATAATAATTGTGATAATGATTATTCAGTTCTATGTAGTCTTCTAAATGTTGTGGCAAAATATGATTTTTTATTCTAAATATACGAGTAAAAATGAGAACCAAATATATGATTTTTTTTATATTCAACCACTGCAATTCTTATAACATAGATTTTATTTTGGTGTACTTAGTTTTTATTCAATATTATTGTCATAGCTTTATTTTGCAGGACTTGTAATTTTCATTGGCAGTCAACAAGATAGTTGAACAATATAGTAAATGCGGCAAAATAATTGTATCTATTTTCTTGGAATATGTACCAAGACTATGAGAAGCCCTATGAAAGTAATATTTTTTTGCAATTTTTGAAATAATAATAATTAAAATAATTCTCAAACTTTAGTTTACTATCAACATATATACCTAAATATTTAATTGATTCAACATTTTCATTTATTTCACCATTTATCCTAATTGTGATAGTATTTTCATTTAGGTATTTCGCTATTAGCATACATTTTGTTTTAGAAGTATTCAATTTTAGTTAGATAAATTTAACCAATTTATGATTTTTGCCAAGTCAGAATTTGGCATTTTTAAAAGCAGTGTCTATATTTTCATTTGATATGTATCTTAATGTATCATCTGCAAATATCTGAATTTTGCAGTAATCTAAAAGTTTACTACCTGTTAAGCCAAAAATTTTGAAAATAAATATTTTTGCTTCAAAACTTTCCTCCACCAAAATAACAGCATCAAATCTTTAACTTAAAAGCAAGTGTTAGGAATTCACACTCTCAGACGGTTTTGTGAAAATTTTCTTTTCACATTTCTCAGTAACTTAGCGTTGTTGTAGCATACTGACCATTCATTATAAGCAAAAGAATCCGGGACGCTGTTTTAAAACTTTAAATTTCAACCAATTTTCATGGAATGAGTTCCTTAATGATTTGTGATGTCTTCATCACGAAATTCTACGTCACTCATTTCCATCGGTCTATCTGTTGACATTTTTCTACGATTGTCCCACGGCTGTACAAGTTTTGATGGGATCCGGGGAATGATGCTATATGATCATAGTAGGTAACGCTAGTTCATTTTTGAAACTCAGTTGTGTTATAAGCAGGAAAACGAGAAAAATTAACATCGTTCCAATTTGCAATTTTCTGATAATTTTGAGATGTGAACAAAAATAATGTTGGATGTATCCAAAATAAAAAAGACAATCTTCTTTTTAAAGTTCTGATCACTTTAAGGCCTTTAACAAGAATCTGAATTTTCCTTCCAGGTGTGGTACACCGAGACCTGAAACCCGAAAACCTAGTGTTCACCTCGACCGACGATGACGCCGAGATAAAAATCATCGACTTCGGCTTCGCGCGGTTGAAACAGGAAAAAGAACCTCTCCATACGCCCTGTTTCACGCTGCATTACGCCGCGCCCGAAGTGCTGAAGGGCGATCCCGAAGGGTACGACGAGAACTGCGACCTGTGGAGCCTGGGGGTGATCCTGTATACCATGTTATGCGGGAAGGCGCCCTTCCACGCGCGGTCCAGGGATGAGACGGTGTCGTTGATTATGGAAAGGATAAAGGTACTTTCAAACAAGGCGTCTCGCGACGAGCTCTTCAGACTGATATTTGCGAGCACTCAGGGAGGTTATGACGCTGTGGTACTTGCTCCAGCTTTACATAGTGAAATAACCTGCTATGTTTATTCTTGAGTCGATTGTACATATTTGGAAGTTTGCGTTATAAGTCAATTTCAAAGTTTATTTTATACCGAGCATAGTTACGAATTTCATCAAGGGTGGGAGCGATTTTCAAATATGTATCAGCTAGTTAGTCTGATAAGAGCTCGTTGTGGGACTCCTTGTATAATGTATTTTGTCTCAAAGAACTACTACCTCTTATCTTCATTTTAATCTGGTTAATATGTCAGTCACGTTTGTTGTCTTATAGGAGTTTTCAACCATACAGGTATCAAAGAGATTATTTTTCTGCCTGTCATATATATAGGCAGTCATCAAGTCCTTTCAGTTACTTCTGAAAAGTTACTATGTAAGACTAACTACAAGGTACAGAAACATGAAGACATATATGATTAACTTCTGATAAGTATTTGATAGCATTTCAAAATGGGATTTCCCGAAATTGTCAAATCTTCACGGCCCTAGATGTACCTTCCAAAACATCAAAGTAGTGCCTCAAAACTATTATGAGTATCATTTGGAAGGATATTAGGTATAGTATACCATCTTTGGGAGCAAAACATTTCCAATATGCTTTGTTCCCGACAAGGCATACAACAATATGTTTCAGTTTCTTTTTCTATAAGAAGCCCTCAGAAGATACTAGGTTGAGAAGTTACATGCCCCCCTCGAGCTCAGACTCAGCTCTGACATCTCATTTGGATAGTTGTCATTTTGATGTCGTGGTCTATAAATACTTCTAGCAACGATTTATGTTATTTTCTGAAAAAAAATCTTTTAATTTTGATATGCAGCACTTGAATATCTCTGTTATTGCAGCATTCGAAATAATTTATTCAACTTATTAGAGGCAGATTCTCTGCATTCAATAATTGTATGGAAGAGACCTGAGATACGTAAGTACTGTAACATCTGAAACCTATCCCTGTGGTTTTCATGTCGATAATCTCCCATGTTTGTCTAGCGAATGAAACCACATATATTTGAACGTGTCATGTACTGAAGGTCACCAATTGTGACTGAAACGTTTACTACATTAAAGAAGAATTTCAAATATATGTATGTGATTTCATCGGCCAGGCAAACCTGGAAAAGTACGTAAGACTATCTCAATAGTGAACACGCTTCCTCTAAAAAGCTTCACACTTCCAAAAAATACAAACATCACAATGATAATAACCTAACGTGTACTCTTCACTATACTATGGCCTTGCTTTAGACATGCATGTTTCTTCGACAGTTGATATATCCAAAAAACAATTCCTGAATTGGGAAGATATTGACAATACCCTAAACCTCGTATATTAAATTGCAGGATGGAGATTTTAGTTTCGATTCGACCGCATGGTCCGGGGTCAGCACAGAAGCCAAAAACGTCGTTCGAGGACTTTTGACAGTAAATCCAGCCCAAAGGCTGCGTATGGTTGACCTGCAAAACAACCCTTGGATCCAAGGTAGTCAGAGCTTCCCTCAAACGCCACTGATGACGCCCGATATCCTAGGCAGCTCTGCAGAAAAGACGCTGCAAACTACTTTCAATGCCTTCCATCAAGCTCAAAGGGAAGGATTCCGGTTACAGGTAAATAGTATTTAACTTGTTTCAGCTTAGACCCATTCACAGGTATTAAAAAACAAATAACACTGATCCTTTGTTGATGAGGGTTTAAGATGACGTGAAGTAGATTTACTAGGCGCTACCGACACATTTCCAAGTCATTTGATTGAGAATTTTCACGTCTTCTAAGAATTTTACCAAAAATTAAGAAACAATAGTATCGCATTTCCATCTTTACGAAATCGGCCCTAGATGTATCTTCGAAAAAATCAAAAGCGTCTCCAAACTACTCCAATTTTCAATTTATTCGGACACGCAAAAAAAAAACAGTTTGATTTTCAACATTTTTTTGCTGCTGAACCATTTCCTGCCAGATCAGTGAGTCGACTATATGGTATTTTTTTATTTACCAAAAACTTACAAGTATCACCTTGTACTTGAACATACTCACATAAATTGTCACTCATACACTATTAATTTGTCAAAATAAGACAGCACAACCTTTCTACTACTACTAACCTACCATCTATTACCAGAACGACCACCCACTGCAAGAGTGAAACAACAAGCTGTCTGTTGGAACTGTATCCCAGTCCACATTTGACTAGTTTGTTTAATGCAAGTAGACTGTATCTACTATACCGCTAGAATTGGCGGCATCTAGGTACCACAGTGGTGAACCTGCTGACAATATGAACTAGCATACAGTTCCAACAGATAGCTTGTTGTTTCCACTTTCACAAAAGTCGATCTGGTAATAGATGGCACTTTGTGGTCTCTTATTTCGATAGACTTTATACTGTCAATAGAGTTTCCAAATATTATAGCACGAAACAGCTGACCATGGTTGGCCGTATGTGGCCGGACGAACGAAAGCTATATTACTAGATTATTAATTTGCTTGTCACACTTCTTGAATCAACTGTAGCTCTTTTGGAATGATTTCAACACTGCTACTCCAACTTAATCGCTTTACAAAACACAAAAACGTGATGGATAAGTACTTTTATCGAACCAACAATTATATTTAGTTGGTACTGTCGGGATGTTACATGTGTCACAATGACATACACAAGTCGCATTCGTGTTGAAGTCGAGTTGCTTTTGATGAGAACAGTGACTAAGAAAACTAAACCCTAACCACTTGCTACTAAAATGTCACTAACAAACATCCTTTTATTTTTTCAGGATGTCTTGAACGCAAAACTAGCACAACGTAGGCGGATGAAAAAGAGTTCCTCGGACAACACCAGTTCATCGTCTTCGTTCACCAGCGAGGGGTCAGTGAAAAGCGCGCCATGCACCCCTCTCACCTCCAATTCCAAAAGTTCCAAGACTGAAGACAGCAAACCAACTGCCACCACAAACGTTTACGATTGGGACTCGTCCGAATTCGATACCAAAGGGTAAGTATTTGACATTCTTTGTTGACAATATTTGGTGATGCTTTATATCTTCGATTTTTCTATGATGTGAGAAAAAATGTGTCTGAAATTCATATATTGAAAGAAGAATAAATATTGTATAGCGATAGAACCTGACGACATTTTATTTCCAACAGTCAACATCTGAGAGATTAGTTATAAAAGTTATGTTTGGCACAAGTTAAATCCTATGGGAAAAAAATTGACTACGAACATGTACAACATTTATTAAATGTTTTGGCGTGGGAACTAAAAAAACACTCAGAACATAATATTTGGAGGAAAAGTATCTGACGCAGCCCTTTGACTTCTAGGCATATACAAATTTGCCGATGTTTTTATAAACAGACAATGATGGCACCTACATGTTCCGAGCCGTCCCATTTACAAATGCAACTATTACCAAACGTTTTTCGCGAATGTAAAAACTTGAGTCCTTCGTAAAAAAGTAAAGTGTCTGACTAAATACTTAATCACTCCAAAATGTTAGCCCCGCTGGTCCATTTGAAACATGTTTAGTTGTTTCAATAGAAATAAAACACCTGAAAAATAGAGGGACGTGACATCAAGCCATTAGGAGAACCAGTGGTTGTGGGACCTTGAACGCTGATATAACTTGTCAAGTTACTGTGTACACCAAATCCAACTTCTACATACTTTCCTCTTTCTTCTAATTCCCGAAACTGGCATCCAATTTTCGAAAATCGCACCAAATTTGTAGTAATCTCGACAAACGAACATTTAGTTACTTTTATTTTTGTTTCCAGGTCCCAGCCGAACCCTGCCGACCCCCGCACCACCAACTTGACCAGCCTCCGCACCTCCGAGTCAATCAGCGACATAATTCGCGAATCGACCAGCTCCAGCGGCATAGTCATGTCCGAAAAGAATTCCCTGGATAGCTGCAAAGTGGTTGAACCGCCCCCGGCCACGCCTAGAAGACGGAAATTTTACGAACCGGAGGCGGCCGGTGACGTCATCCGTGAAGACATCGAGTGCAAAACGGTGGAGCCTGTCGCAACAGCGCCGCCTCCAGCGACACCTAGGAGAAAGAAAGTGTACGTGCAGAGTAGACAGAGCGAACGTATTAGGAGGACGAGGTTGGAGATTGACGGAGAGGCGCCCGTTGAGTTCCTTTCGTTGCCGCATAGGACAAGAAAGAGGAAACTGGGGGCTGAGGGAGTGGAAACAGACACCTCCAGGTAAGTCACAGTTGAATGGAATAAAATTTTATGGTTATTGATATGGTTCCTCCGAATTTCTTACTTTACAAGACCAGCAGTGTGTTCACGGACTCAATTTTCTCATTATTTATTCGTTTATTCATTTTTCTGATATTATAATTTTTCTAGTTACTTGGGAATGTTTCACGATGCAGTGAAGCCTCCCATAGACGCACCAGTCCATGAGGACATCCAATAAATCGACCGATCGATATTTGGGGGATAGTTGTCGATATGGACGAGTAATTGAGAGAAAGTGGTCGTGGTTCTCGTACGTTTCAGCGAACTGTATTCCACACCACCTATAGAAGAGTCGCTCTTCGAAATATTCTCGGCTGAAAATGTACAAAAGTTTGTGTCGTCGATCAGTCCCATCTCAAAAGGTGAAGTTACCTTTGTGTACAACGTTTAATGACATGAAAAACCCAGCAATATATTATTTTTCCGAAAACGGATGAATTTTACAAACGTGTGTCAACAGCTGTTAGAATTTGGGATCATCCGTTGGAGATGAGAACCAGGACCATTATCCCCAGTGTTTATGCTCCCTCGTTTTCAAGAACATGGATCTCGGGGTATAGTAAGCTCCTACCACCCTCTCCTCCCCGATTTTCATTTTCTTTCAATCGCTAACATCACTTTGAGAGAAGACGCTGTGGACACACTGAACAACAACATAATATGTGAACTACGTGTTCACAGAGGACATAAAAAATCGACTCTGTACTTCTTCCATATTGTCTGCAATTGAGATATCTAATGGCAGTATACACTGTACAGGGTGATAGATAGATAAATATGCTTTATTGTCTGAAAAATACAATCATTCTTTATGACAAAGCTGACTTAAACCAATAACATACTTACATATACACCTATGTGGATCTTGAGTAGGTGAACTATAGAACTCGCAATCATTTACATACATATTACATTACAAATTGTCCCAAACATTCAGAAGCATCACATAGGAGTGTGAAAAAGGTTCATATAAACATGTCAGGAAATTAATCGTTTCCGTTTTGCGTAAAAAGTATGACTTAAAGCTTTTCGTATCTTCGTTAATAAAAGTAGCGGTTGTTACTATTTTTTAAATAATAAACAGATTAATGTACATGGTGTCCCCTATCTTTGGTATGACCATTTAGAAAAAAAAATCATACAAAAGTTATAAGGTCTAAAATAAAGTTTTTCATACATTGTCGTTTTTCTGTATCTCAGAAATGTGCTATTGAATGGAGCTGTATTTTTTAACACCCTGCATATTTCCGCAAGTTCATCACTCTCTTCTCTTAGCCTAAGTTTCCCACATATCCAAGCCTACTTCAAAATGAACCCATTCTGTTTGGACAATATGATTAATTCTTCTTGGAATTCAGGCGTCGCTCCTAATCTAGTTTAACGTTTGCTAATCGGCTATTATTTCACCTTAGCTCAACTGAATACTTTTTTTTCAGGACGAAAGTGAGGATGAAGACACCAAACCCCTCCACGCCCACATCCAAAAAGTCAAGAAAGAAGGTGCACCGGTAGAATCGAAAGTAGTCAGATTTTTTAGTTAATTAGCATGTTCTATTCTTATTATAGTAATGAAACGTAGGGTGAAAAAGAGGCGTCTGCGACCCAGACTCAGTATTTTGCGTACCAAGCGTATACGCATCCAAGGGCGCAGATTCCGCTTAAATTGATGTGATAAAGACAAAAAAAGCGAAGGAGGGGTGAAAGTAGGTGTGTATGTCAGACAAATCATAACGGTGGATGAAGTCGTCAAGTAATTGGAAAAATATACTGGTGTCACATACGATTTTCCTTACCACTTCTAACTTTGACACATGGCAGAATATTTGGAGTCAAAAAATATCCATCCTCCAAAATGCGAAAATAGCAAGTGAATAGTTCTTCGTTAATGTGCGATCTATGACTCCACTGAAGATTTCCTATTCCAACAATGAGAAGTTAGGGTATCAATTTTAGATGTTTTTTTTTTGTAAAGGACATTGTGTACTTTGGCATTGTTCCTCTTACCAGGATTATCAAATACATGTCGCCCTATCTAGCAGCGTTTCCGAGATTTTTGACGGAAAAGCTTGGCGAAAAATGAGGTACGTCCTATTCTATAAAGCCTGTTAATTTACGATTGCTTGTGTATTTTTTATGGCTCGTATCAACAAAAGCCAAAATGTTTGATAGAGTACACACATTTAGAGAAGGCAAGAGTCCGACCAAAAAATATTTTTAGTTATTAGAATTTAGAACTACTGGGAATGCTAGAATTCCATCCATCTGTAAATCGTGGCCCAAAAGCAACACGGACAGATAAACATCTATGTAACTGACTAAAGGAGTTAACCTTTGCTTTGATAGTCCGTGATATGGAACACAAAAGCAAACATGGAGCTAGTAAAGTTCGGAGTGTTCTATATATTTTGCTGCCCAAACCGGATCTTTTAGCACTTATTTCCCTGAAAAACCTCATTCCTCGTCAAACTTTAAGGTTCAAAATCTCAGAAACGTTGGTACCTAGTGATATATTCTTCCAGTATCTTTTGTGTATTACTTTAGGTATTAACATCAATCAAAGAAACATAAATGAAGGTTGGCCACAGAACAAACAAAAAAAACGCCAAAAATTACTGAAAATTACCCATTGTATTTTATCCAAAATAGCAGATTCTGGTAACCAAGGCTACTATTCCTTCACTCCATTGTCTGGCGGAATCAAACTACATATGCAGGGCGAGTTTGTAGTGTAGGCTCGGTCGATAACTCTGTTATTACGGATAGTATCTGAAAAAGTTGATTACAAAAATTGTTGCCAACAGTATGCTTCTTGCTTGAAAAAAAATTATCTGTACAGGGTGATTCATAACTTGCGGTGATGCATGCATTTTTTAAATCCATAGCATAACATTTTATTCCCGATTTCCTTCAAACGAAGCACCTTGATATAACATACTATATGGTTCTATTTCAAGATTGTTGATATATTTGACAATCTATTGAATAAAATGCCGAATTTTGACAACCAGCACCTCCGTGACTGTGTTACAGAGTACTAAATTTTCCGTTAAAAAAAAAATGTTACCATATTTTGTTCCTATACACTCACTATTTCAGTGTTCTGAACAGTTTATACAGGATGATCAAGAACGCAAAATAAGCGATTTCTCAGATATTTTAAATGGAACGCTCTCTGCATTTTCACATTCCCTGATTCTCCTTTCCAGAAGCTTTTAAAATATTTTCCAGGTCGAGAGGAAACTGTTGGCTACAATTTTTGTATTATTTTTTTTTCATATTCAACGCCTAATAATGGAGTTATCCATCAAGCTCACACTAAAAACAACCCTGTATATAAAAACAACAGGATAAGTATCAGGAGTTAGATTAAGACTACTGTTGATGTCGCAAAGTACATTGCAATGTTCGCAATTCACACCGTAAAAACATCTCAAAAAAGTAAACTCTAATTATTTTGTGGAGAAGCAGTAGCCCGATGGTATCTAACATCCTAATAAAAGTCAAAATCACAATATTTGCACCGCTAAGTTAACCTCATCAACTCGCCATACCAAGGCAAGCTTAAGAGCAGATTGTCACAGGATGGAAAATTCTACTTATATCTGGTGTTCCACTACCCAATTACTGACGAGTCCACACCATCGTGTCCCGTTACTTAATTTCTTCCTGTATCTCTTTAGGTTAGATGGATACTTAGAATGGCCATAGAGACAAACAAAAAGCTAGTGCCTTGCCATGCTGGGTATCTAAGAATCAAAGTAAATAATATCATAATTGTGACCAAGTGTGACGCGAGTCGTAAGATGCTTGGATTATAATGACAATTAAGAGTGACTGTGATATGTCAGAGGTGTACTAGGCTGCATATGCTAGCTCAAATCTCGAGAAGTAGTACATAAAGTATACATATGCTTCTAACTCCTTTACATCAATCAAAAATGTTACCACTGCAAAGATTTGGCATTTATTTGTCTTTTTCGCAATGCGCGCCTTAACAAAATTACATGTATAACAACTGAAAGACTTTTAGACTTTTTATAGCCATTTTTCAATGCTTTTTCGCCCAAAAAAATACGTTTTTAAAATTCGATCTAAAAACTTACATTTTATGTCAATGCCATAAAATCAAGGTTTTTTCATTTATTAAAACGTTTAAATTCCGTCAAAATGAATTTTTTGGTAAATACCCCATTAATTCGTTAAATTTGGATCACCGAGCAGGCAGCATATATCCTTTGACAGCTTGTATATCAAATTTTCGGCACAATGTTGGTATGTTCAAAAATTTAGTTAGGTAGCTGTTATTTGTGTCAAAAATGCCAAGTTAGAAAAAATGTGTTGAATATATTAAATCATTACAAGCAACTTAGAGTGTAGCTAAATAAGTATCATACTTGCATCATACTTTGGTCCGCTGTACAGTATAGTCCTTGAGTACATACTAAGCTGAACTGCCACAAAACAAACAAAAAAATGACAAAATGATATTAAACTAATGCTTGGTCTAACGTATTTTTTGAAATATAACATTTTTTGCTGAAATATAGCTAGGTAGTATTTTAAAACTTGGTAAGATTTGCTGTTACTTAACCCTTAACCAATAAAAATACAAATTGGATTCCAATGAACAAAAAAATGTTCTTGTGAATATTCTGATCTAGAAGTTTTGGGCGAACAGACCTACTAATATGCTGTACTCAAGGATCTATCTCAATATTTAATGATTCCATTTTAATTCACAAAATTGTTAAAGTGCACTTTGTAAGAAGAATGTTTATATACATATAGAAAAAACCAAAAAATTGTATATAGTATGAATATAAATAAAAACCTTTTTTTGTAAAATATACGTGTTTGTACAGAATTAGTTTCTGTTTATGCAAATATTATGTTAGCAAATAAACTTGTTAAAGTTTACATAATTTGAATTTCACCAAGTGCTGGGGGTTTCAGGCAGAAATACGAGTAAATGATTGTAACAATGAAAAATGCAAAAATATGTGTATTAGTTTATGTATGGAATTCAATAGTGCAATTCTGTGTTTTTGTCTGAAACTAAGACAGCTCAATAACCATTTGTCCAATGTATCTAGTTAATATTTATTATGTAACTGAAATGATTTTCCAAAGGATCAAAAAGATTCACAGAAGAAATACGAGAAAATCCAGTCTCCCACACTTAATTTAAAGGAAACACGAGTGGCCAAATTTTAAAACTGTGCTGAAAATGATAAACGAGAAATGTATCTTTATCACATTACGCTGTATTATGTAAGGTGACATCACTTATTATTTTCATGCTCAACAAAATAACATTTTATTAAAGTATGGCTGTGACTCTTTTTCGTTACTTTTGTTCAACCACTAGAGGAAAAAAATTCAGCTGAGCTATCAGCAACGCACTTAGCCGAGTTTGATAATGTGATATCGCCTAGTAAATTTTTTAAAAAGAACATAATTTTTGGAAAGTTTTGTTTTTACGCTTCCCGGTCCTTTCAGGGCATGAGTAGCAAAAAAATTCTGAGATCTCTCCAATACTTAATGCAATTTTAGGTCCAAATTTTAAACTAGCAATGTGTATTTCTTCAAGAAGAACTAATTTATTCTACTTGAATCCTTTTTTTTGTTTTTCAAACCCGGAGTGGTTTATGAAGGTAATGAAAAGTCTTGATATTACCAAATCTTATAAAATATATGCGTAAAGCTGCTAAAGTATCAAACGGTCAAGATAGGTAAAAATGAATGGGATACCAACACTGATTCCATTTATTTTTTGATACAAATATATTTTCTCAACGACGTCTTCTTAATTTAGTCATTGTACACAAAGAATCGGAATCATCCTTTAACATGTGTTTTAGTTTTCTTATTTTATTTTGCACTCAGGTACAATATTTCACTTACTAGTATTTTATTTTATATTATCGAATAGAATTATATAGATTAATTTATTTGTATATGGCAGTTTTTTTCTGTAAGCTAAAGGGTATCATGTTATATTTAAAAAAATCCATATAGACCAAGCGGACAGTGCCTTTTAAAAACCCTCTTAGGAGTGGTTATGCTTGTTTTAGGCAGAATACATACCATTTGTAAGATGCCTTAATTATGTTAGAATTAAAAATTTGATTCTTTATATCAGCATTTCATTTCATCCGAGTCGCAATCCTATAGTATCCTCTACGAATGCACCCGCACTCGGCGCATTTCACAGAACACCCGGTTTTGCCCTAGTATTAAATAACTCGTCCATATAATTGAGGATCAACTTTTTAAAACGCATTTTGTCCAAAACAATTATTTGTTTTGTGATAACGAAAAACGATTTTCTGTTAAGCCTTTCCGTATACTTCTAGGACAGTGAGTTGTTTCGATTGAAACTAATACATAGACGTAAAAAGTTATCTCGGTTAAATAAAGTTTATTAGAAAAAGTAGAAAAATCAAAAAAATGTTTGGACTTGATGCGTTTTGTTTCGTCACAATGCATATATAGTTGAAATATATTGTCTTGGCAGAAAACAGTTGGTAGTGAAATTCGGCTTACAGCTATCTTGAAGGTACCAACTAGTATTGTTAGTACAAGAACATGTCCTTTTTCTTATTTAAGTTCTTTGAAACATACAAACGTGAATAATAATGCCAATCATACAAACTTATAATATAATAAGCACACGTAAAAAAGTTAAATTTTTTCCTGGTTAAGGTCTTTTTCGAGGCAGTCGCACTTGGATCATTTTTCAACTGCATCTTTGGCAGGATCTGTAATTTTAGTGTCTGAATCTGCACTTTCATGGTCTGGTTCTGTCATGGGTTTTATGGTATGATTAAAAAAGAAAAACGACCATAGCGTGATATTTAACTTCCCGGTGTTGTCCAAATTTTGCACAAAGCAGCTTACAGCTATTCTGCATATCCATTATAAAAGTATGACCGCGTTTAAATTTTTATAAAAAGATCCTTTTCATTTCACTTATTCCATCAATTTGTTTCAGTATTCCTCTTAAGTCTATTTAGTTTTTAATAAACCAATCTTCCCCTAGTACTCTGACAGTTCCGTATTAAGTGTGGGGTCCAACACCTCGGCAGGTCGGTAGGAGTGGCCGCGACCTGAGAAATACGTTACTATCTGTTTTATGTTTTAATTTTTTTGGAGTTTTTCTGTAACAAGAATTTTAAGGCATGGATGACGTGCTGCTTTTTGTTCTGGAATGTGCAGCCACCCGTGAAAAGCCTAATTTGGGTTATGGAGTCATCAATATGCAAATTGTCCAAAAAGTCTCTTGTAGCTGAAGAAATTTCTTGAGCACCTCTTGCAGCTTGTGTTTCATTCCACATAAAAATGTGGTGGATATTGTCGCCTTCTTGCGGCGAAATGACATAATCCGTTTTGGTTCGACTACATCTGTGAGCAAAATGCATTTTGATGTGAACCTTATACTTTGCATGTAAGTTACACATGGACATAAGCGTCTTGGAACGCTGTATTTATATAGGAATGTAGAACACAACAAATGATTTCCAAATCCGCTTCAATCTCAATTTTATCCAAATTGGACAAAATGCGTTTTGAAAAGTTGCTCCTAAATTACTCGATCTGAATGCAAGGCGCACAACTTTGTGTAAATCAAGGAGTTGCATATGTGACTTGCAAAGTCTGAGCTCACACCTTTTTCCCAAACAAGCCTGGTATGCTACCTAAGAATCTAAATTCAAATTTATTGGTGCCAATATGCATACGGTGAGGTTGGAATTTGGCTGACGTCGTAATTTTTAGGGGATAGAAGCGTCTAATATGTGTGTTCTCGGGTTGATAGGCAACAAGGTGCTTCTATCTCTTTCTAACACACGTATTGTACGCTTCTCTCTCGTACACATGACGTGAAATTTTTGTTAGATTCACATCCGATTCATTGCAGACTACGTAGACTACAACGTTGCAGACTAACACAAAAATTTCACTTGCTGGTCAGCTGTTCACCGCAGTAGATACCAAAGCGTGATGGATACTCGTGAAATAGGGTATAGTTGACAGTTACTGTGAGCAAAATGGGTTATGAAAGGTTTCTGGAATTGATTGAGAACAACGGGAAATTACCTGCAATTGAAAGGGTGGCAAGAAGATATTTGAGGGATGCTATAAATCTGTTCAGTTTATATGATGAACAACACTTTAAAGGCAGGATATAGATTCTCAAAAGGCACAGTAAGAAACAACATAGCCTCATTGATTCATGACGACTTAAATAAGCCGACTGACAGAGGATTATTAGTTCTGCTAATGCAGCATCAGCTAGTTGCTGCAATTCGTTTTTATGCAACTGGAAATTTTCAGGTTTGAACTTCTGATAAAGTATTTGTATATATACTCAGTGACATTAGAAGTGTTACACCCAGAAAAAAATAGTTTCTTAAACTTGTTTTTGTCAACATGATGACTATATTTAAAGCATACTGTGGCAACAATGTCAACGTTTTATCTTTGTTTTTGTTTACCTTTGTTAAAACGTTATCTCTTAGTTTTTTTATTATTATTGCCTTTTCATTTACTAGTGTTAAGCATAACAAAATGCCTCGAGTTCGACAACGTCCAAATTATCACCATATTAGCGACTTTGACAGGGGTAGAATTATTGCCTATCGAGATGTTGGTTTGTCATATCGCGGAATTGTTGCCGTGTTAATTATACTAAAAAGTCTGTTGTGTGTATAAAGAAGAAGGTAGATGGACACGAAGAAGGCCAACTGGTCCACCGAGGCGTACCACAGAGCATCAATATAGGCGCTTCAGACAACTAGCCCTATACACGCCGAATTCGGGCCTTTGGACTTTTTTCATACCGTCCACGGTTAGTGCTTCCTCTGACTGCGGACGACTATTGTCAACGTTTGAGCTAGAACAGAGAACGGCAACATTTGGATTCAGAATATAATAATGTCATCTTCAGCGACGAATAGCAATTCTGTCTAGGTGCGCCCGATGGTCGTAGAAGGGTAAGACGTCGTCATGGAGTACGACGTGACATTGGATTTGCTGTTGAGAGGCATGTTCACAGGACTGTTGAAATAATGGTTTGGGGGGCTCACCCCTTCTCTTCGTTCAAGGCAATATGACTGCTGCGCGTTATGTTAATGATGTCCTACAAGTGACTTTACTGCCGTATCTAGAGGACCCTCCATACGTCCTTTTTAAGGATGACAACGCACGTCCCCATATTGCTCATCGTACTACGGACTTTCTTCAAGAAGCAGGCGTTAATGTTTTGGCGTGGCCACCCCGTTCACCAGATTTAAATCCCATCGAAAATGCGTGGGATATGGTGGGAAGGAGACTATCCACTTTGTACCATCCACCACAGACTCTGCCACATCTAATCCACCAAGTTCGAGTTGCTTGGAATAAGGTATACAGCACTGTATTCAGCTGCGGGGTCGCCCAACACATTATTTTTTTTTCTTATTACTTGTCAATAAAATTTCGTGATAATGTTATCGTTTCATTCTTGATGTAAGTACTAACTCATTATCAAAAAATCAAGTTGAAGAAATTATTTTTTCTGGGTGTAGCACTTCTTAATTCACTGAGTATATTCATACAAATTCTTCTTTCGTTCATAGTTAACTATTTCCAAAATTATAAAGAGGGTCTCTGAAGCGATTGCTCGGCACCTAACCAACCTCGTTAGGTTCCCACCAAATGTCCTTGCCAAAATAATGATGATCAAAAAGTTATTTGCAATGAGTAATTTCCCACCAGTCTCATTATGCATTGATGGGGTACATATATCAATAAAAAATCCTCCTGGATGGAGAAGTAGAAGAGATTTTCAGAAAAAGAAAAGGAAACTTCTTAAATGTTCAGGTTGCATGTTTGAATTTATCAGTAGAAATGTATGAAATAATAGGGTGCTTTTAAGATTATTCAGATGGTCTCGATTTTCGCCGTGAAATAATATTAAAATAAAATTTACGTTCTAAACACTATGTCGGTCATATGGCGCCCTTGAGCCGAAATTTAGGAATCAAGCCTCTCCCGAAATGAGCCCATTGCGTGGGCCAGCATCCGTGCAGGAATTTGGGTTACTTCTCTTCTTATTTCCTCCTTCAATTCGAGGAGGGTCCGAGGCTTGCTTTTTGGTAAAGTCTTGATTTCAGGTAGCCCAATAAAAAAAATCGTTGACATGCCCGGGGAGCGAGGGGGCTATGGAATATCACCATGACGTGAAATGACACGAAGTTCCGGAAAAAAGTTCAGAATGTGGATGTAACGCTCTGAATTCACAGTAGTTATTTCTCCATCATCCTCAAAAAAAAAATAAGGGCCAATAATCGTCGTTGGGCCTACTGCACACTAAACTGTAACTTTCGGGGATGCAGGGGGTGCTCATGCAACTGTTGGTGGTTCACTGGAGACCAATATCCACAATTTTGTTTATTGACGTATCCATGTAAATGAAGATGTGTTTCATCACTCATAGACAACGTCATATCATTGTTATCCAACTGTTCAATCATGAGCTGTGCAAAATTAACACGTTGTTGACAAACTTGGATTTTGTAAGGATGGAACACTAAATCCTTCTTCAAGATGCGACGTACAGAGGACACATGGATCACTAGGGAACTGACACGCAAACGGACGGAACGATTCGGGCTTTGCAGCATGTCAACTCTCACTCTGTCTACGTTTTCGAGGGTTCTAACAGTACGGTTTCGCTTTCGCAGTTTTTTCTTCTTCACATTACCTGTTGTGTTGAATGCTTCCACCCATCTGAAAATGGTGTTACAGTGTGGTACTGTCCCACAACGTGGAACACGAAAGTGAACGCGAATGAACAACATACTCGCCATTTTGAAAGTACCGACGCACAGTGAACACACGATGCTCAACGTTCCAAACCATCTTGCCAACTGGAACGGCACTTCTCCCACTATCCAACACGCCCTTCCCCACCGACACGGGACTAACCCACTCGATATAGTACCCATTCAAAAAACATGCGTTCTTTCTGACGGACCCTGTATAATAAATGTTTTCATGACACCTATGAAGTTTAAAACGGTATTCCTTATGTTGCATTCATTCATAAAAACAAATTCAGTACAGTAACATTGAATTATACGGTAGTCAATGCTT